CCCCAAAACCCCAAAACCCCAAAACCCCAAGGCTTTTTGGATTATTGAAATTAGGGTGGGAGACGAAAAGGGATTTTGAAGAGAGGATGGAGAGTTAAGCTGGAATTAGGGGATTTCAAGTGACCGAGAAGGGGTTGGGCAGGAAGGTGGCTTGGTCGGTGGGGAATAAAGGGGATGAAGGGGGCAGAGGGAGGGTTGTGGGGGTCAGAGGTGAGAATTGGGTGGTTATGTGGAGGTTTTGAGTTAGAGGGCTTGAAGATGACAGTTTTGTTTTCGATAATTTTTAGAAAATTTACACAAATTAAAATAAGTTGGAATTAAAATACAACTAAACTAAATTATTCTTGGTAATTTTTAGTGACTCTCTTCATTACTCAATGCTATCTTAGTGAAGCCCAAACGATCCCTTATTACTAGTCCCTTACAAAATGTTCAAATTTTATGTGCGAAAATTACTTATAAACTTCTTACTTAGCCATCATCATTTTGATAAAACCTTCAAAGGTCAAGAAATTATTGCCTTCACCATGTTCTTCAATCATATCTCTAACATCAGCCTCAGTAACTGTCTCTCCCATCTCTTTGAGAGTAGCGAAGAGATCTTTCTGGTTGATCCTGTCATCACCATCTTTATCAAAAATTTCGAAGACCTCAACAAACTCTTCTTGCGTGTCTTCCTCATTAAGCCTATAAGGTCACTTATTGGGAGTACTTCTTAGCCATTAGTCCAACAAATTCTTCAAAGTCAATCTCTCCGTTACCATCTACATCAACTTCTTGGATCATTTCGTTTAGTTCTGCTTCAGTGGGGTTTTGCCCAAGTGTACGCATGACTAAAGGTTAGAGAGGGAATACCTTGTCCAAGCTCATTTGTGTCCACAGTGCCATCTCCATCTTTATCAAAAAGGGAAAATGCCTCCTTGAACTCTTCTAGTTGGGTCTCGCTCAAGTCTTCAATAGTAATCATTGCTAATAAATTTATAACAATATTTACAAGGAATAATGGGGTTTTGGGGTTTTGGGGTTTTGGGGTTTTGGGG